TGGGTACATTGAATCGAATACTAAGTGGGTCAACAATATCACGGTTTTTATAAATAGAAAAACAAAGTTCATGAATGGTACCATTCATGAGAGGTTTTTAATAATAGAAAGCTGCTGAGCAAAAATTGAAACGCTTTTTCTTCCCCGCTGTGATTGTAAGGGGTCCTGGTGGCACAGTGTTTAAGTGTTCAGCTGCTAACCAGAAGGTTGGTATTCAAACCCATCAGCTGCTCTGTTGCTGAACGATGTGGCAGTCCGTTTCTGTAAAGATTTGTGACCTTGAAAACCCTATGTGGCAGTTTTATCCTGTCTTATAGGGTCACGGTACGTAGGAACTGACTGGTCACCAGTGGGTGGATTTATTGTGTTTCTGGAATTAACATTAGCTTCTCCTAGTACAGTTTTACCTTTTTAATCACTATTTTAAGTTTTGAATATAAAATTACTGGTACCCCAAACATAAATGCAATAATAACTGTATCTTTAAAATTGCTTTGTTTTTCTGTTTTGCCAGATAGTATTTTCAGACACCATTACATAATTTATTCTTATAAAAATCACTGATTCTTTAAAAATATTTTAAATTCAATCTTTCTTTGTATTTCCTGGCAAAGTTTTCAGTTTTCCAAACCTAAATATATACTTATCTTGAAGGGGAAAAGTGTGTGTGTGGTGAATCTCAAAAAAAAAATGTAGATGATTATGTTTAGGTATAAATTGTCTAGAAAGAAATCTACATTTATACTGTCGTGGCATATAAATAGGAAGCTCTTACAAGCTTCTCAGTCTTAATCTAAATATATAGTTGTGGAATGAAATTATTGATTTCATAACATATTATGTATATTTTATTTTCTCTGTTGGCATTTGCTATTTAAGACGACATGTCTTTATACAGTTTGTTTTCCATAAGTATATGTTGACATGCCCTTGTTTTCTTAAAGCCCATAATGTTGCAATCATCGTGCGTGAATGATTTAGGAAGTGTTGGTCAGTCGGTAGAGGCCACTCACAGCTTGCTACTAAAACTGGAGTCTATGAGACACTCTTTCTTCACAGTTCCTCTCTGAGCTGGTTAATTTTTACTTTCTAACTTCTGAAAAAAGAAAAAATGATTGCCGTGGAGCCATGTGGGGAAAAAAAAAGTTGGTCTTGTATTTGTTTTTTACATTTGTAGTGAGTGATTCATCTTTTTAGATCATTCATTAGTAGTATTCCCAAAATGAGAATTTATGAACTTCGTAATTTGATGTATTGTTGTTACAATGGACCAATCATTCTTAATTATTAATGCAGACTTCTTTTAACTAGGAATAAGCTTTGACAGGTACAATTACATTGTTTAGTTTTACTTTCAAAATAATAATTGCTAATGTTTACATATATTAAACATTGCATATATATATATATTTAGTTATTTTGATCAGTTTCATATTGTTTGCATTTTTGACAGTTCTTCTAGGGAAACAGATGTGCTCTATGACTCAAAAATGTAGTACGGTTACTTGATATTACTTGAGGTCTGTGTCTTCATTAGCTACTTATCTAGCATCTTCCCTGACACATAGGAAGCAATTCTTGCTGGGAAGGTTAATCCTCACCTGAAAGGAAAGCCTTGTACTTCTCTGTGGTTTATGCCCTTTCATTTCTTGTTTTTATTTGCCGTCGAATTGGTCCCGACTCATTGCAGCCTTATCCACAACAGAATAAAACACCCTTACAATTGTTACTCACGAGCCCATTGCTGCTGCTTGTCTGTGATGTCCATCTCATTGGGGTTTGTCCTCTTTGTTGATGACCCTCCACTTTACCCAGCATGATGTCCTTCTCCTGGGAATGGTCCCTCCTGATAACATGTCCAAAGTATGAGAGACAAACTCTCCTCATCCTGGCCTCTATAGCAATTGTTGTTTTTGTTATGTGCCGTGGAGTCGGTTCTGACTCATAGCGACCCTATACAGGGTTTCCGAGGCTGTAAATCTTTATGGGAGCAGAAAGCCTCATCTTTCTCCCGCAGAACTGCTGGTAGTTTCGAACTGCTGACTGTGAGGTTCTATAGCAATAGGTAGGGGTTATAAGGAGAAGTGGTGTTGTTATCACTAAGGTGTTGATCAAGAAATAAAAAATTCACCCACTCTTACATCCAATATAGCAGGGGTGGGGAACGTCTGGCCCGCACGCCATATGAGGCCTGTGAAATTATTTCATCTCACACTGCCAAGGAGCCATCACGTTATGGTTGTTTGTTAAGTACCGTCAAGTTGGTTCTGACGCATAGTGTATAGGGTTTCCACGGAGCATTTGGTGAACTTGAACCACCGACCTTGCAGTCCAGTACATTAAGCCATAGCACCATGTTTGACCAAATATAGCAGGCTATATTTTAGTTGATAATTTTGTATGGCCCGCAAGTGATGTTATGAATTTAGCAGACAGACTGTTCCCTACCCATGCACTATGGAGCTTGTTCAAAGCAGCCCATATAAACAGTTTGCATTAAGTTAAGTGCTGTCTCCAGAATTTTAACAGATAACAAGGATTGAGTTGTGATGGTCCTGCTTTTCCTGTCTCTATGAGAGAAAGGTGAGATTTCTGCTCTCGCAAAGGTATATAGCCTCGAAAACCCTGTACAGGGTTGGAAGCGATTCATTTGCACTTAGCAACAGCAACCACCTAATCTAGTGAAACAAAATGTCATTTCTGCCCTACTAATACACAGTTCTGTATGGTACTGTATTGGCTGTTTAAGTTGACTTTTTAATTTGTCATTTATGTGTCTTGAATCATCAGAAAGCAAATGAAATTGTTTGCTAGCAATTAATACGTGGGCATTTTAAAATGCCTCATTTTATTGTCTGACCCTGAATAAATGATAAAGTGGTTACAAATGTTTAGAAAAAATTCTCTAAGAATTTTTTTTGCCTGTGAAATATCAGAACCCTTTGTAATATTCCCAACCAGTCATATTAAGCACATTTAAAAATTTAACAGTGCTTTCAATAAGCTGAATTATGTATCAAAGATACTATTTTCACATTTTAAATAAGACTGTCTAATCACTTTAGGACATTTTAACTCCGTGGACTGACTTTATTAACACAGAGAAGATTATGACATATGTGTCTTAATGTTGCTGTATTTCATGAAAATAAAATTTTTAATTAAATCTAAAACTATCTGTTTTTGCACATCTTTAAAAAATAAAATAAAAACTGATCTAGAATAACAGTGAAGGAAAATAAAGACATATTACTAGGTAAGCATGCAAAATTGCATATCTGTATTTGACACTGTAAATCTTTTTTTGAGTTATTTGCTGCAATTGAATTAACATATATACATTGTGCATATATATGTACATACTTACATACATATATGATTTCTGAGAAATACCAACTATGATTATTTGTGACTGGATTGAAAGGTTGCATTTGTATTGCGGTATAAATTAGTTATACATGCCATTTTATTGTATTCAGTTGCATTGTTTTCATCAGGCAATTTATCACATGGGTGTATGTGAAATTTCTTCATTTATTAAGTTTCAGATTATGTATTTCAAGCCACAGCAAGACTTAAACATTTTTCCATAAGGATAGCTCCACGTAAACAAGCAATTTTAGTCCCGAAAATAGCTTCTGCTTCTGTCAACATGTTGTTTATTTTTTTCTCTGAGATAAAAAGTTCAGTTTTCTGATATTTGTACCAAGATAAAGTCAGTAAACAAGATTAATATAGTGTGGAAAAGGTTGTCAGCAGCCTTGGCAAAGGAAATAAGTTGCCTGTACATAGAACATACTGTAAACTGAATAAAAGTGTCAGGTCCACCATGAGATAATGTGATCATGAACCTCTAACAAAGCATGACATAGGCACAGTCGGCTTTTCTCATAGCCACAGTGTAGAAAATGGATTACTGTATTCCAGGGGTACCCTCTGGAATAGCATGGAAACCTCATTTTGAGATGAATGCAGGATGTAGTCCTGGAGTAGAGCCACATGTTTACCTGTGGTGCTCACCCACAGGGTTATTAATGCCATCATCTGTGCACATTTGCAGTATTTGCATTTCTTGGAATTTCAGACTATGGGCTTGCTATCCGTGCTACCCAAGTGATACAAGAGGGAGTGAGTTTTTTGAAATTGTTCGTTTCTTTTTAGTGGCATCTTTAGACTACCTCATTGTACCTTTTTTGATTCTATAATTTATATGGTATTTCTAATTACAGAAGGACATTTTTGATTATGACAGACTTCAAATTAGAGCCTTTGATTCTAAGCTTGTGCCTTACTGTTCTGATGGAAGTTGTCATTTATTCACTGCTCTGTGTGTATATTTCCTTTGCGAACTCTATAAAAGGGGGAAAATAGCTCATATCATCAAAAAATATTTGAACATCATTAGAATTTTAATTTGACTTATAAATGAAGGAGTGAAATATTGTTCTGGTCTGTAAAATGACACTTTGTTCTATGTAAGTACACAGATAATTCCTAACTTTGAGGAGAAACTCCATAAAGAACTATTTATCACTTCCATGACTTTGTATGCATTTAATTGTGTGCATTATATTACATGTTGTTTATTTTTAAGAATTCGCTACAGATGTGTTGGCACTCTGAAATATCACCTGTTCGTCACTCATCTAATTAAATAAACCTCCTTTTTTTCACGTGAAATTAAACATATCTCCAGTTGGACAGTATTTAGAAATAAAAGAGTCAGTAGTCTAGTTCTTAAGAAAGATGTTTATTTTATTATCAGAGTATTTTGAAAGTAGTCTTAAAATACAAGCAGAGAAACTACACTAGACCAAACCAAGCAGAGCATTATTCCCTGGAAACAAACCATACTGCTAGTCTATGCAGTTTTAATCTAAGATTTGAGGGATTATGTTTTCTGGTTTAGCTTGACTGTACCCAAATGGAAGTGTCCTTATTATCCATTGTTGTTTTACAAACTTTATTGTGATGCTTTGTGTTTTTAAATCTCCTTTTAGGTGCCCTCTCCTGGGCCAGCAAATAATAAGAGGATGGTTCACTTCTCCCCAGATCCCCATCACCATGAGTGAGTACTCACTGTATTTATAAAACCTCAACAGAGAACAATTTAAATAAATCCAAAAATTTAAAGATTTTTAAATAGTGCCATTCTTTTATTTCATTTGTGATAGACCTTGACGTTCTTGCGCATTGAAACCCGTGAGACCCGGAACCCACTGGGCCTTCCTTGTTTTCCCGGGTCTCATACATTTTCTGACTTAAAATGCAGTCAAAGCACTTTTCTGTCACTAATTTTACTAGAAAAATATTTGAGGTTTCATTCCCGACAAGTTTCCACCTTACACAGCTTCCACTATTCATAGGCTTTACTGTTTTAGCTTAAAACATTTAAGATTCCATTTTCATTACAAGAATTGTAGCATCAAGTGCCCTTCCAGCACCTAATTCCTTACTCCTATCCTCCCAACCTTCCTAAAGTACTAACAGGACGAGTAAGGGGCTGATTTTCTCATTACTTCCTTACTCTTTCTCCTGCCCAGCATTTGGTAATACTATTAAAGAGTTGTGAGGGGACCAGAATGTATTTGCATTTACCTACAAAAAGGTGAGGCTAGTTTATTAGATAAATAAGCAAATAGTTAATTTGCTAAAAAGTCTAAACAGTTGAGCACTGACTTTAGAAAATCCATGGGTGAGTTTTTAGCTGCCAAATCTATGTCTAACCATTTCTTTGTTGAAAGAACTTAAATATGTTTTATAGTTTATGTAAATACCTTTAACAGCCTATGAAGTAATTTGAACCAGAAAAAGGCTAATAAGTTAAAAAAAAAACATTAAAAGATATCAAGTAATTTGAATGAAATTATTCTGACAAGCAGTTATATTAGGACCCATTAGATTGTTAGGTCCTAAATTTTTAAATCTGATGAACAAGTATGAAACAGAAATTGTTATTCAGATACTACATAAAGACAAAGAAATCTGTCCTTTTAGTAGCTGATTTCATTGATTTTTTTTTTTTTAGTCTACGCTAAGCCCTCTGTCAGACATATGTTTCAGAATGACAACCTAATAGGTGTTAAGTTTTATTTTAAATTCTCTGTCTCATCTATCAGTTTGCTCTTCTGTGGTGTTTTGTGTGTTGCTGTGATGCTGGAAGCTATACTACTGATATTTTAAATACCAGTAGGGTCATCCATTGTGGACAAGTTTCAGCGGAGCTTCCAGACAGAGACAGACTAGAGAGAAATAGAGGCAGACCACTTCTGAATGGATAGCCATTAAAAATCTTATAAATAGCACCGGAGGTTTGATATAATGCAGAAGATGAGCTTCTCAGATTGGAAGAAACTCAAAATACAAATGGGAAGAGCCGCCTCATCATGACTCAAAATGAGAAGACACAGCCACCACCATCATTAATAATCAAAAGAAGATGAAAGGAATACACAGAGTTCCTGTACCAAAAAGAATTAGACACTTTTCTACCATTTCAAGAGGTATTAAATGATCAAGAACTGATGGTATGGAAGGAAGACATCCAAGCTACTCTGAAGACATTGGCAACAAATGAGGCTCCAGGAATTGATGGAATACAAATTGAAATGTTTTAACAGATTGATTTCTGCGCTGGAGGTGCTCATTCTTCTAGGTCAAGAAATTTGGAAGATAGCTACATGGGCAACCAATAGGAAAAGAGGTATATTTGCAACCATTCCAAAGTAAGGTGACCCAATGGAATGCAGAAATCATAGAAAACGAGATCATTAATATCATATGCAAGTAAAATTTTGCTTAAGATAAGTAAACGGTTGCAGCAATACAGTGACCGGGAGCTGTCAGAAATTCAGGTTGGATCCAGAAGACGTAAAACTAGGGATACCATTGCTAGTGTCAGTTGGCTCTTGACTGAATGCAGAGAATACCAGAAAGATGTTTACTTGTGCTTTATTGACTCCTCAAGGGCATTTGACTCTGTGGATAATATTGAAAAAAACTAAATATTCTAAAACCTATACATAGAGCACAAGGCAGTCATTGAGACAGAACAAAGGAATACTGACTGGTTTAAAACCAGGAAAGATAAAAAGTCAGAGTTTTATCCTTTTACCATACTGACACAATATTGATGCTGAGCAACTAATCTGAGAAGCTGGATTATATGAAGAAGAACTTCACATCAGGATTGGAGGAAGATTCATTAACCATCAGCAATATGCAGATGACATACTCTTGCTTGCTAGAAGTGGAAAGGACTTGTAATACTTGCTGATGAAATTTTCAGACTACAGCCATCAGTATGGATTGCACCTCAATATAGACAAACCGAAAATCTTCACAATTGGACCAACAAACAGCATCATGCCACACAAAGATAGAAATTGTCAAATTCTACATTTTGCTTGTGTCCACAATTAACACCCTTGGAAGCAGCAGTCGAGAAATCAAATGATGCATTGCACTAGACAAATCTGCTGCAGAAGACCTCTTTAAAGTATTAAAGAAGCAAAATTATCAGTGTGAAGACTAAGGTGCTCCTGACCTAAGTATTTTCAGTCACCTCATGTGCATGTGAAAGTTGGACAGTGAATAAGGAAGACTGTAGAAGAGTTGACGCATTTGAATTGTGTTGATAGTAAAAAATGTTAATAGTAGAACGGATTGCCAGAAGAACAAACAAATCTGCCTGGGAAGAAGTACAGCCAGAATGCACCTTAGAAGTAAGGATATTAAGACTCCCTGCCTCTATCGTACTTTGGATATATTGTCAGGAGGGACTAGTTCCTGGAGATGCACATAATACTTGGTAAAGTAGAGGGTCAGAGAAAAAGAGGAAGATCCCTAACAAGATGGGTTAACAAGGTGCTATCAACAGCGGGCTTAAACATAACAATTGTGAGAAAGGCGCTAGACAGGGCTGTGTTTCATTCTGTCCTGGCGTGTAGGATTCCTGAGTTGGAACCGACTCAACAGCACCTAATAACTGCACCAAAAGGCTTTCTGTCTGTCAGAAAAAAACAGAGTATAACATTTATTTTCTCAGAATGGCAAACAGTGGACTTTTAAAGGTTATTCTTAATTTTCTATCTTGATATAAAACAAAGACTCAGGTCTTTGTAGATTTAGATTTGTTTTTAAACCAAAAATTACATTTCGTAAAAAATTTTAATTCTCTGAGCACAAACTAATACCATATCGTGGTATAAGCCATGTGGTCCTACTGTTAGTCCCGTGCCAGGTTGTAAAAGGTGTAAAAAAAGTGAAGTGGAAATAGGGCAGATAGGATCATGTCAGCCTGGAATATTGCTTCTCAGATAAGCAGGCATGATCGGTCCGTATTCCCTTCCCACCATTCTCTCCTGTGGTCCTCAATCAATTAAATAAGAATCTGGACATGGAACTCAGCTATCAGTATATTTAGATGTTTCCAGATGATCTCAGTCTGTATGGATTATCATTCTGTAAACACTAAAACTAAAATATTGGGGTCATTTTGCTCCCTGAGATGCTACATGCTGCCAGCACAGGAGTATTTCGTGTTGGCCCCTTTTTTCAATTTACTTCTCTACTATCTTACCTATAACTTTGTTAACTTTCAAATTATTAGGATCCTTTTGGATCTTCATGTTTCTGTATTCATTGTTTTAGTATATACTATATGGCACTGTAAGGAGCTCTAGTAGCGTAGTGGTTACGAATCGGGCTGCAAACCGCAAGGTCAGCAGTTCAAAACTACCAGCTGTTCCACGGGAGAAAGATGAGGTTTTCTGCTCCCATAATGATTTACAGCCTCGGAAACCCTGTACAGGGTCACCAAGAGTCGGAACCGTCTCCACGGCACATAACCATCACCATATGGCCCTGTGGGTTACTGCACAGGGTTACAAAATTGGTTTGAACCACAAGGTTGGTGGTTCAAGCTCACCAGCCACTCCTAGGAAACTCTATACAGGGTCGCTGTGGGTCAGAATTGACATAACGGCACTTAACAACAGCAACATGTAGCACTGGTGGATAATGCAGTGGTCCTCAAGGTCAGTTTGAACAACAAAGTCGGTGGTTCAAACCTATTGGCAGCTCCTCAAAAAAGCTATACGGGATTGTAATGAGTCGGAACTGACACGGTGGCCTTAACAACAATGACTGTATTTTAATGGAGCCCTGGCAGCATAGTGGACTGCTGACTGCAGAGTCTGCAGTTCAAATCTACCAGCTACTCCTCAGGAGAAAGATGAGGCTTTCTGCTCCTATAAAGATTTACAGAAACCCTCAGAAATATAGGGTAGCTATGAGTTGGAACAGACTTGATGACACACAACCGCCACACCACTTACTTTAGGTATTCAAGTTCAGTTCAATCATTTTTATTTACCTTCTCAAAAAATCTCCATTGTTATCATTGGAGTAGAAAGCAAATCTTACATAATATTAAACACCACCACAGTCTGGCTCCAGCTAAGCTACCTTACACTTTATTTTCTATTATCGTTCCCTCGTAAATCCTGTGATCCAGCTATCTGGTTGGTTTCTGGTTTCTGACTGTAACCTGTACTTCACCCTTCTCCCTGGATTTTTGCTCATTTCATTCCATAATATCTTTATCTATCTAAACCCTATTTGTCACTTAATAAATAATTAAAGAATGATTTATTGGAATGCATTAGCATGTTCCATAATACATAATCGGCAATAAGTGAAACCCATAGGGTTTTTTCTTCTCACATAAGTCTGGAAAAACGTGGCTCTTTGGTTTGTTGACTAGCTCAAAGATGTCATTAAGGGTCAAACTATTTCTCTTTTCTTCTGTGTTATCATTGCCTTTTCTTTTCTTTTCTTTTCTTTTCTCTCATATCCTCATATTTAGTGCCTCATAGTCTCAAGATGGCTGCTGCAGTTCCATCCACACATCATATGTACATTTATGGCTGGAGGAAGCAGGGCAGGACAGTACTGGCAGTTCTTTTCCTTTATCAGGAAACATAATACTTCTCAAAATGACCAACCAGATTGGCTCAATATCCTGAAATTTCTCAATCATTTCTTTAACAAAAGAAAACATATTTT